CACACACACACACACACACACATACACACACACACACACGCACGCACGCACTGTTGTACAGACAGCCGATACCACAGTCATAAAAGCCGAGACACAGAAATCGGAAAACAAACATGGATGGGTTTATTATCACAGTCACATTAAGGCTTAACACACAATCATTATATAATACAAATATATAATAGATTCCGGTGGACAAAAACAAATACGAATTGTTCTTTTTCTATTTAATATATAACATTTTTAAAATGTCACTTACAAACTGACATGTTCAACGAGGACAAATTTTCAAAGCCTGAGACACACATTTTGATACAAATCACATAAAAGTATGCTGTCATTGAATACGTTTTGTGGACCGTACAATGGTTCTGTGTGCAAAGAAAACAAGACTGAATCGAGAACTATAGATTGAAAAATCAGAATGATCCCAATCGTTTTACACTCCCATCGACATAAATTAGATCAACCAGGAAGCTGGCTGCTTTGATTCTGGCTGTCAGGACCCACCCAAGAGTTGTGTACGGTAGAGAATCCTAGCGGACAGACGGAGATACTTCCTAGAATAACGTACCAACACGCGAATCGAACTCATCTATTCATCGTACACCGGTGAAAAGCCTAACCATTACACCTAAGACGCCGGTCTGATCATAGGATGCGGATTGCATCAACACAATTAAAGATGGACTGGCCTGGATATAGCAGAATGAGCAACGGCAGCCCACGACCATGAAGGATGGAGATTCATTTTACGTAAGCCCCTGAGTCAGAGATGACACCTCCAAGTATCCAGGTAATTTAGATCATCTGGGTGGCAGGCTGCATGAGCGCTGTCTGTTAATAGTGTTAGGGACAGCCCAGACGCATGGGATACAATGGTCTTGCAAACAGACGAAGATGCTCGATACACGTTTTCCTCACTCGGAAATCAAATCTACCTCTTTAGACAAAAATTCACGTCTTCAGCATGCTTCAGAGAAGCGCCTAACTGGTACACAGCAGATACTAGTAGGTTGGAAAGCTATGATTATGTAGCTATTTTATTGGCTAGAGTAAAATTTAGCCCCCTCCTTTCTTCCCTCATCATGATCACAGTTTGTTGTTTCCTGCTCATTATTAAGACATAGATGCTACCCCCTTGTGACCCACACTTTGACCCTGGGTGTTGTACACAAGGTCAAACAGTTCGAAATGGTGTGTGTGGATGTGTGTGTGTGTGTGGGGGGGGGGGGGGCTTGAAAAGAAAACAAAAGGGGGCGGGGATTGAAATAATACTATAATTGTCGCCTTTTCTCCCCAAATAATGTTTCTCATTACTTTGTTGTCTGTTACCGAATGTTTGTGTCTCGAAATCAAAGGTAAGATTCCCCTGTTTATGAGGCCTCTTTCAGTTCGAAGGTCATGGTTATGGAAGTGACATTGCAGAATCGAACGTGATTAGTCAGCACTTCTACTCCACTCCATGACGTATCCTCTTCAACTCATAATCAGTCTGTAAAATTAAGGACGTTTCTCTCAAAAAGTAAGAAGAGGCGAAAGTTTGATCGAAAGTCTCAGGGCAGCGCATTCGGCTGGGCAAAGTGCGGACTCCTCTCTGACCCAGAGCTAAACCGTTCTATCTTCATTGATAATGCAGTGAAAATGGAACATTTCAGTTCTGAGAGTTTTGTCCTGAAATCCCCGCCAAACATTGATTGAGCCTGAGGGTGCACAATGTGTTCACTGTGCTCGAAAAAAACCCAACCCAGTGCCAAAACAAAAAAAACAACCATCAAACAAACTAACGATAAAAAACCCCAAACAAATTGTAACTAATAATTATACAGTAAATGTTAACGAAACAAAGAAGTATCAGTATCAGTTACCATCTTTGCCAAGTGTGAAATTATTCAAAGGTAGAAAAAATTGACGATGATTCTCAAAAGATCATAAATCTAACATGAAAAAAACTTTTTTGTTGTTTTTGCATGACGCATCTGATGTTTGTAATGTTTATTTAAAAAAACAACAAAAAAACTGCAGACACAAACAGACACACGACTGAAAAAAAGCCCACACAAACAAAACAACACATCATAAATAACACAAAGAAAACTGTTTCGGTCACGTTAATACTGCTGGGATAGTTCAGTGCATTCATGTGTTGACATCAAGAGTAACAAAATTAATGGCAACGTTTTGGAACGGTGAAGATGGATGTATTGGTAGATCTTGAGTTGATTGTAAACATGTCAGTTGGACGGAATGGATACAGCTCCAGGTTTGTGAACAATTGGAAGTTGAACTTATTCAAAAGTGCAGAAAAAACGAACGAATAAATTATATAACCAAATAAAAATGTATGAACTTTCTTGGTGCGGAGTACTTAACAAAAGAACGGCCATTTTGGGTTAAAAGAAAAAACAAACAAACAACAAAAACATTGTTTAATGCCTCTCAGTCGTCTCTCAACACACAACTGTTGCTTACTTATAGTTTGACAACAAGACACAAATATGACAAGTCAACACACTGAAAGTTTTGATTTGTTGGTTTTGGTTTGAACGCACACAAACGACGAGGAGACGATGTTGACAAGGAAACAACAATCGACACATTCAACACATTTATAATAATAAAACTCTGATGAATACTATTACAGAAATCACAGAGATGCTCTGGACGGCATGATTTGAAATAAAACGTACAGACATTGACGTAAATATTGTTTTAGGGCGTTGGACGGAATAGACAAGCTAGAACAAGAATGGACATTCATAAATTCTACAATTTTTAAAGACGAGTGGTTGAATTTTACGAATCAGCACAGTTTACTGTGGTACGGTTTTGAGCCTGCTTTACGTAGAGAGAACGATTATTCAAAACTAGCACAGTATTCTAGAAGTTTGCAAGCGTCTCCCTAGCCAAGACACACAGCAATACACTCATTTTGCGGTACTTAACTTTGAAATAATAGAAGAAAAAAAAATGCAAACACCCAAGATCGAAAAAAGCAAAGTTAATGCCATAACAAAAAAATCTATTAATCTGACGACTAAACATTTTTGTCCCCCCCCTCCTCCCCTTATTATAAACAAAATCAAGAGAAACATGCATACTACAGACAGATAGCCCTAGCTACAATATATAATAATTATTATTCTTATAATCCTCAAAATAATAATTTAAGAAAACCTATTTTCTCTACCATGACATATTATGCTGAGTTCTTTTTCACGAGATTAACAATTATATTCTCTTTTGTTTATTCGGATTTTGTGTAGCTGGATCAACAATCACAAAAAGTAAACATCATAAGATAAAAAAAAAAATTATTGTAATTTCACTTTTAATAAAAGCGTATTACTTTATCAAAGATATATTCCCTGACCAAACTGACACAACAGATAACGAATTTAACAGC